GTCACAGGCTCAACTTTCTCCTTGCAGCCCTGAGCAGTGTCTGTTCTGCTTGGCCAGGACTGCAGTCTTCTCCCCACCTTGCACTCAGGTGTTTTGGGCCCCTGGGCTGTGCAAAGTAAGCACTGCCCTATCCCTAATCCCAACCCTATCCCACTTAGTTTCCCACACCTGTGAAAATAAAAAGTTAAACATTTATATTAATCATCAAAATTGTACACACAAAAAATAAGACTGCAGTCTGCTAAACCTAAATATATTTGTCCCTAGCCTCACTCTTGGAAATGGCTGAATACCCCTTTTAGCTTTCAAAAAAAAAAAAAAAAAATCCACAACTCAGCCTGATGCCAACACCTGGCCTGGAAACACTTCAGCCCAGATGGTCAAAGTCTGGCACAATTATAAGGAACTGAAACCAGGGTCTTATAATGAGAAGGGTGGGGTACACTAGTAGGTTATGCTACTCCTCCTGCTGATAATAAATGACTCTCTAGCCATTTTCAGGCACTTTTGTATTTTTCTCCTAGCTGGCTTTAAAATACCCCTGTGTGTGTTTGCTCCTCAGTTACGCAGCTGGGAAATCTCCCATCTTCCCCGACTAGAAATAGTTTGCTTAGAAGTGTGTTCTAACCAGTTTTAGGGAGTGCAACCGGGAAGAGCTCTTCAGCTCGGCCTCCCCTTCCCTTCAGACAACCACGGAGAACAGGGTACTCTGGCTTTAGGCTGTAAAGCACTGCGCAGGTTAGGTCTCTCTCGGGCTGCGAGGAGACGCGGGGCGGGGATTGGCGCCCGGGCGCTGACCGCCGCGCCCTGCGCTCAAGGGCGCAGAAGGTGCCAGCCAGAGCCGGCCCAGGCACGTCAGCGCCGCCTGACCCCGAGCCCGCAGCCAGCACCGCCCATCGCTCCCTGGGCGCTGCCTCAGTTGCTTAAATAGCGGCTCCCGCCGCCGGGCCGGCCAGCATGAGCCCGGCGACCCGCCACGCCGCCATCTCCGCAGGTAAGAGCCGCCGCGGGCGGATCCCGACGCACCCACCCACCCAGCAGCGGGAGCCCCGGGATCCGGCGCTGCCGAGACTGGGGGCGGCTGGAGCCGGCGGGGATGGGCGAATTAGAAACAGCGGGGAGCGGGGTCCGTTCCCCCCGAGGGAGGGGCTCAGCCTGAGCAAACCGCCCCCCTCCCCCGGCTGCATTGGGGGTGGGGAGAGGCTGAGTGTCTCCTGTCTACGCCGCCTCTTCCAACCAAGTTCTGCTCCTTCGGGCCCTGCGCTTGGGACTTGTCTCCATCGGGGTTTTACCTGGCGTCAGTGAAGCGGCGTTAGCAGGTTGGGAAGGGCTGTGTAGCCCCCCCGCAACCTGCCTTCTACGCTGTGTGCGGACCTTTGCTGGTTAGCCTGGGCCGACGTTTCTCAAATGCGGCAACCACCGCAGCCTGCTTCCACCAGGGGCTTTTCCTGCGGCGGATTGGGTGGGGCAAAGCAGTGGCCCCTCCCCTGGGGCCGCCAGCAGGGGTTGGGCCCTGCCCCCCTCAGGAGCCACAAACCCTGGAGGCAGCGGGGCTTGGGCCTGCACTCAGGTGTGGCAGGCATTGGGCTCTGGCCCCAGGCTCACCATTCGGCTCCCCGGCATGCAGCGGGCTCCTGCCATGGGCTCTGACCGTGGGACTTCTGGTTCTGTCCTTGGGCTTTGACTGTGGGGCTTCGGGCTCCATCTCTGGGCTTCAAACACATGGCAGGGGGCTCCAGCCGCACGGTTTTGGTCTCTGGCCACGGGATCCAGCCCCAGTCTCCCATTGCCCCTGGCCCCCACTGTGTCCTCCACCCCCAGGTTTCAGCCACAGGCCCCAATGTTCATTTTTCTGGGAGGGGGGTGCTCTTCCACCTCGAGGCTCAGCCCCCACTCTGCCCCTTCCCTTAAGGCCCCACCTCTTCCTGTCCCCTTCTGCCCCTCCCCCCCAGCAGCTCCTGCCCTCCGCCGAACAGCTAATCAGCAAGTGGCTGGTGGGTGCTGAGCACCCACTATTTTTTTTCTGTAGGTGCTCCAGCCCTGGAGCACCCACGGAGTTGGCACCTATGGTTTCAGCTGCACGCTCCGTTCCCCAGCCGCATGGTGGCAGGCACCTGGCTCCAGCCGTTGGGCTTCAGGCTCTGGACCCCAGCTGTGTGACGGCGGGAGCCAGCCCCAGGCTACCCCCTGATGCCCCCATTGCTCCTGGCCCATGCTGCATCCTCCAGCCCCCATGCCTGACTGTGTGGCTATAGGGTTCCGGTCCCCAGGCTCCCCCCCATCACTCGCCCCCGCTGGCTCCCCCAGTGCCAGAAGGGACCATTATGATCATCTAGTCCAGGGGTTCTCAAACTGGGGGGTGGGACCCCTCAGGGGGTTGCGAGGTTATTACATGGGGGGTCATGAGCTGTCAGCCTCCACCCCAAACCCCACTTTGCCTCCAGCATTTATTATGGTGTTAAATATATAAAAAAGTATTTTTAATTTATAAGGCAGGGGGATTGCACTCAGATGCTTGCTATGTGAAAGGGGTCACCAGTACAAAAGTTTGAGAACCACTGATCTAGTCTGACCTTCTGTATAACGCAAGCCATAGAACTTCCCCAGAATAATTCCTAGAACATATATCTCAGAAAAACATCCAGTCTTGATTTTCAAATTGTCAGTGAAGGCAAATCCATCACAATATTTGCCAAATTGTTTCAATGGTCTGAATTTCTCTAGCTTCAAATTCCAGCCATTGGATGGTTATGCCTTTCTCTGCTAGATTGAAAAGGCCATTATTAAATATTTGAACTGATTGGTTTTGGTCATCATGTAATTCAAGATTTTAGAACTAGAGGTTTTCATCTTCTCACACCTTTCCTCCTTTTTTTTTTTTCTTTTCAACTCCCAATTGGTTTCTTAACTTTGAATGAACTTGTCATTGAATTGAACTACTTGAATAAACTGAAATGAATAAAATGTTCTCTCTGCTCCTGCAAAAGAGGTTACTGCTTTAAAAATGTGATTTAACACTTTTAACAAATTCTGGTTCCAGGTGCTTAGCTAGTAAACCGGATCAGTTGTGTGTAGGGCTGTCAAGTGATTTAAAAATTAATTGTGCCATTAAAAAAAATAGAATACCATTTATTTAAATATTTTTGGATGTTTTCTACATTTTCAAATATATTGGTTTCAATTACAACACAGAATATAAAGTGTACAGTGCTCACTTTATATTTATTTTTGATTACAAGTGTTTGCACTGTCAAAAAACAAAAGAAATAGTATTTTTCAATTCACCTAATACAAGTACTGTAATGCAATATCTCATAAAAGTTGAACTTACAAATATAGAATTATGTACAAAATAACTGCATTCAAAAATAGAACAATGTAAAATTTTAGAGCTTGCAAGTCCACTCACTCCTACTTCTTGTTCAGCCAGTCACTCAGACAAACAAGATTGTTTACATTTGCAGGAGATAATATTGCCCTCTTCTTGTTTACAATGTCACCTGAAAGTGAGAACAGGTATTCTCATGATACTGTTGTAGCGCAAGATATTTACGTGCCAGATGCACTAAAGATTCATATGTCCCTTCATGCTTCAACCACCATTCCAGGGGACATGTGTCCATGCTGATGATTGGTTCTGCTCGAAAATCATCCAAAGCAGTGCGGACCGACACATGTTCATTTTCATCATCTGAGTCACATGCCACCAGCAGAAGGTTTATTTTGGTGGTTTGGGTTCTGTAGTTTCTGCATTGGAGTGTTGCTCTTTTTTAAGACTTCTGAAAGCATGCTCCCTACCTCGTCCCTCTCTGATTTTGGAAGGCACTTCAGATTCTTAAATCTTGGGTCAAGTGCTGTAGCTATCTTTACAAATCTCACTGTGACGTTATGAGTGTAATATAATATCTCATTGAAAAGTGACAGGGCCAGAAAGAGTTAATTAACTCACAGACTGACCTGACCCATGGCTGAACTTTAGAGACTGGTTAGAAAGATATGTAAATGGCTAGAGCTTTGAAATACAAGTCTGCATTGTTAGCAGTAGAAGGGTAGGTGTTTGTTCAGGTCTTGTGATGTAAGCAAACAAGTCTTGTCTATTGCTATAGCTTTAATTCAAAGATCAAAAAAGAAGTATTAACATTTAGGAAGACACTTAAGTGAAATAATATTATTGTCTATATGTCTCTTTGAAGGTTGTGGTAACGTGTATCTGAACTGTTTAATGGATAAATTATCATGTGCTAATTGCCATAATGTTTGGGAGAAGGGAAGTTAAGCCTATTGTTTTCTCAGGCCAAAAGGCTGCAGGAAAGGTATAAGAACCCTGGAACACGATCCCCAGTCACTGACTAGAGTCACCCTTAATATGGACATTGGATTATAACCTATGGACTATTTCTAAAAGGACTTTTGGAACTACAAACTCATCTCTGCTATGTATCTGAACCTCAAGAATTAAATTCAAGTCTGTATGTATATTGATCTTTTAACCAACACTCTCTCTCTTTTCTTTTTTTAATAAACTTTAGCTAAGTTAATAAAAATTGGCTATAAGCATGTATTTTGGGTAAGATCTAAGTTATAAGTGGACCTGGGTATGTGGCTGATCCTTTGGGATTGGAGGAACCTTTTCTTTTATATGATGAGATAAGATTTTCAGTTATTATCATCATAGGTTTGACATGTGTGTCTGGATGGAGGCCTGAGGCTGGGCACTTTAAGGGAACTGCATTGCTTGGACTTCTGAGTAACATGTATGATAATATAGAAGTTGTTTTGTACTGGCTTGGTAAATCTAAGTATTGGACTATCCACCAGCTTTTAGGGTTTGTCTGCCCCGCTTTGTTTGCAGTTCACCCTAATTGAGTAACCTCAGCTGGCTCCCACGGGCAGCACCATCACACTCACATTGGTACTTTCTTTGCGTTTTGTCAGATTTGCAGTGAAAGTGTTCTTAAAACGAAGAACAACATGTGCTGAGTCATCATCTGAGACTGCGATGACATGAACTATATGGCAGAATGCAGGTAAAACAGAGCAGGGGACATACAATTCTTCCCCAAGAAGTTCAGTCACAAATTTAATTAATACATTATTTTTGTAACGAGCGTCATCAAACATGGAAGCATGTCGTCTGGAATGGTGGCTGAAGTATGAAGGGGCATACGAATGTTTAGCATATCTGGCAAGTAAATACCTTGCAAAGCTGGCTACAAAAGTGCCATGCGAACGCCTGTTCTCACTTTCTGGTGACATTGTAAATAAGAAGAGGACAGCATTATCTCCTGTAAATGTAAACAAATTTGTTAGTCTTAGCAATTGGCTGAACAAGAAGTAGGACTGAGGTGACTTTGTTTTGTTTTTGAGTGCAGCTATCTAACAAAACAAAAAAATCTACATTTGTAAGTTGCACTTTCAGGACCAAGAGATTGCACTACAGTACTTGTATTAGGTGAATTGAAAAAATACTATTTCTTCTGTTTATCATTTTTACAGTGCAAATATTTGTAATCAAAATGTACACTTTGATTTCAGTTACAACACAGAATATAAGATCTATATGAAAATGTAGAAAAACATTCAAAATATTTAATAAATTTCAATTGGTATTCTCTTGATTAACAGTGCTATTAAAACTGTGATTAATCGCGATTAATCTTTTTTGAGTTAATCACATGAGTTAACTGCGATTAATTGACAGCCCTAGTTTTTTGCCTTTCTTTAAAACTTGACAGCAAACATACTGTTTAATATTTTCTGTCTTTTAATTTAAATTAGTTTAATAGATTGTTAGTTTCAAATTTAACTTTAAATAGGTTAATTTAAAAAAAAAACTGTATTTAATTTAAATAAAAACATCTGATTTTTTTTTTTTAATCACTGATTTTTTTGTTATCCATCTTGCATTGTATGGATGACAAGAATATCCAGAGTTAAAACTGTTAACTTGTACAAATTTTGGAAGAAATGTCAAATGTCATGCTTCAAGGTTTAAACTAATCTAATTACTAGGGATTAGGAACAAACCTAAAATGGGGGGGGGGGCACAGATTATCCCACATCTGCCTAATATGAGGATTCTTCTACCTTTCTCCGAAGCATCTGGTGCTGGCCACTGTCAGAGACAAAATATTGGAATAGATGGACCAGAAGACTGATCCATCATGGCAATTCCTATATTCTTGTCCCTCTACCCCCAGTCATACAGAATATTCTCTCTGTCCAGAGAATAGTAGTATTTGTTCATTTGAGTAACACTTATGGTATGACAGTAATCTGTCATCCAAACCTTTACTCTGAAAGTTTTATTCTGCAGTACTTTAAATGACCAGTTACCCCTCCCACTCGCCAAACCCCTCGATCCCAGCCTGGACCACCCTCCTGCACCCCAAACCTCTCATCCCTAGTCCCACCCTGGAGCCCGCACCCCCTCCTGCACCCCAATCCCAATTTTGTGAGAATTCATGGTTAGCCATACAATTTCTATTGCCCGATGTGGTCCTCGGGCCAAAAAGTTTGCCCACCCCTGTACTATAGTGATGAGTACTACAGAAAAGCCCATGAGAAAATTAATAATTCTGTCTTCAAAGCAGTGCCACATGCTGAATGAGAATAAAACAAAATATTGAAAAGCTGCTCATTCAGTGAACACTGTCCATTCTGGGCAATGGAGAGGCAGGGGTCACTGTGGAGAAAAAATATATGTGATCGTGTAATTAAAGACTGTCACAATGCATACGCCCCAGGAAGCTGAATTAAGGTTGCACAGGCAACCATAATTCTGGTATTTCTAATTTTTAAGTGTTGACTTTGCAACTTTAATAATGTTCTTTTAATTTGTGGAGTTTTTGTGTGTAATATCTTAAGTTTTTTTCAAAAAAGCAAATTGAAAAAACATGTTGCCTATCTATCGTGTGGTTTCCTATTAACACCTCCATGGTACATCAGCAGGGTTGGAACCTTTAGATCCACTGCACAAACCTCTGCCACTTAAGCTAATGGAATCATTGCTAGCAGTAATAAATTGTCATCCTCTCTAGGTGGACCAGCACTAGAGGTGGGTGGGACACTTTGCCAGTGTGTTTCACAGGTTTTGCTAACAGCAGAGGAATGGCGAGACTCAGGAATCTTGGGTTCCATTTCAGATGTTGGAGAGGAGTGTGCTGTAGTGGGCACAGACACTTCTGCCTCATCCCCAGCAATCTGTCCATGTCCTTTCACTGGCTCTTTGTTCCAGTCCCAGTCTCCATTCCTCGGGCTTCTCATCCCAGGCCCAGCCTGTCACAATTCACCACGTCACAGTTCTTGAATTAACTGCACCTCTCACCCCCTCCTGGTCTCCATGAGGGTGCCCCACTTAGGGCCAATAGCCATCACCTTTCTCAGGGTGGGATGCCTTAATGCTTTCCCTCTAGCCCAGGGTCTTAAGCTGCCAGTTCTTTCAATTCACTGTGATCACCAGAGCAGGTCTGAGTTCAGTTCAGCACCTGCGGTTGTACTCTGAGGCAATGATAGGGGTAGCCAGTGATCAGCCAGCTCTCATTTAACCAAAGTACTATTTATTTAGAAATAAAAATATTACAAAGAAAACACATCTTAAAACAATAACCAGCTAACATCCATGCCTGGCTTACCAGGCAGTCACCCATCTTTCATGTGGAGACTCTGGTAGGTTCTGAACTACTTTGAGCCCTCTCCCAGGGTCTGATTCGGTTGGACACAGCTTCATGCCTGTCAGTTTCCAGCTGGCATCTGTGTACCAGTCTCTCCCTAGGTTAGAGCCATCCCTTAAAACAGTCCTTTGTATTTAGGCCTCTAGAACCAGGTTGAACCAGTATATGCACTTCACCCTGGGGTGGTGATGTGAAACTTCAAAAGGTACTTTACGTGCATTGTTGCAGTATTGAGGATTTGCAGTGCATTGAGGATCTGCTGTTGTCTTTACTTCCTGCAGGAAGCACCCCTTATCTGACCCGTTTGGCCTTGAATACAATCAGGAACCTGCCCATAAAGAGGCATATATTCTAAAGTTAACACAATAATCTTTGTGTATTGCCTATTTACATAGAATTGCATCTGTCACGCACCACTCCCAGTTCCTTTGTTCAATCTGTGTCCCACCTGCACTCCCAGCCTCCTAGCCCAACCAGTTCCATCTCTCCTCTGGCTCTTGTCCAGCCAGTCCCTGATCTGTCTTCCCTTCCCCCATGCCGACTTCCATTTGTCTGCCACTTTCTCCCCTTCCTTCCCGGGCTCTTCATCCAATCTCAGTCAGTCTGCCTCCTCCCCCCGCCAGATCCTTGTCCCAGTTCTCTCCCTGCACACCAGCTCCTGGACCTTGTCAGATCTGGCCCCCTCCTCTCCACTGATTGCTAGTCCTATATTCTTTGCCCGGCTAGTCCCAGTCTCCCCAGCTCCTCCTTCAATCTCCATCTCCTGCCTGTCCCCCTAACCAATCATTTCCCTCCTTGGCTCCCAGTCCCAATCTCTTTTCCCAGCCTGTCCCACCTGTCTGGCCCTTTGTCTCAATCTACTCTTTCTTCCCTCCCCACAGTCTAGCTCTTGTCCCTGCTGCATTTGAGTCAGACACCTTCCATGCTGCCTGGACCCAGGGTGAAGCCAATCTTCCTCTGCGGCTGCAGTTCCTAGCTCTGCAGAGCAGGGTGGGACCTGGCTCTGGAACTGAGAGCAAGCTGTCACTCTTGTGCTCTCAATGCCCCTGCTGGGCTCAGGCACCAGAAGGAAGAAGGTGACTGACATTTCAGATGGCACTCAGTCAAAATGGCTTGATTTCCCTGTAGACTTCACATATGGAAATGAGGCTAATCTCCAGTAAAGATGACTGCCATCTCCCTTTGATTTTTATTGGGCTCAACAGGCTTTTCTCAGGGAAGATGGATACCTGGACCTCTATGGTTAAAGTATGGGAGTAGAGAGGGAAATTGAGAGGAAAAGGAGGGGAAACAGAGGTCAGGTGAGACCTATGGGAGACTACAGAAGCAGAATGAGAGTGGGACCAGTGCGGGGATTAGCCACCACGCCAACAGGGCCCGTGCCCAGGGTCCCTGGCCAATTGAGGGACCCCAGAAAAATGGGTGCCCCCAGCAGGAGTGTGTGGGGGATGACTTCAGGCAGAAGGGGTGGAGAGGGCCCCCCACTTGCTCTGGCCCAGGGCCCCACAAAAGCTTAATCCAGGAAACTCGGTGTGGTAGGGAGGAAAATAGAGCAATGATAAGGAAGATGTATGGAGAGAGTGGCTGGCTCGGATAAAAGGAGTTTCCCCTAGTGGAAGACTCACGCTGTGTGCGTTTTTAATGTTAAATTTTGAACCTGGAATAATCAAACACAAATTGGGGGCAGGCAATTTAAAGGTTTAAAAACTCAGGAGACAGACAAAAAGCAGTATCTTTTTAAAATCTTGATTGATTTATTTTTAAATAATTAGAGGTGCCAATTCTGATCACAATTACTAATAAATAATATCATATTACATTTTGCATTTATATAGCACTTCACATTTTCAAAGTACTGCACAAACTCTAAAGCACTAATACTGCAGTTGGGTCTGCATGCATAGATTTTTGTGCCTGTGCTGATCCCCTAACTTGGGAAGTATTAGCTAACGGGGACCGCAGTATTGTCAATTTGTGAGATATTTTTTGTTTTTGTTTTTAAAGTCCCAGCTCCCAAAGTCATATGATTTAATGAGAATCTCAGCTTTCATGACGGGGGAGGAGGAAGTAAATTTCTAGCCCTTATGGTCATGGAGAAAAGCTTGAGACTGTTAACTTTACAGGCTCAAAACCCAGAAGGAAAATAAAAAGTACCACAGTTTATTATTTTTTAAAATGTTGATTTGGGCTGTGACTCATGATCTTTGAATGCATGGGGTTGGCACTAATGAGGAAGTTGTAATCTGAGTGTGACATGCAGGAGTGATGTTAAGAGACTGGTCTCTATTTCCTGTCCCCAGTTAACTGACATGGGTCAGGATTAACACCCCTGTCACAGGACAGGAGTCAGTGTT